CTCTCTGTATCTGTGCTGTGGCCTCTCTCTGTATCTGTGCTGTGGCCTCTCTCTGTATCTACGATGTGCCCACTCTGTATCTGCGCTGTGCCTTCTCTCCGTATCTGTGCTGTGCCTTCTCTCTGTATCTGCACTGTGCCCTCTTTTTGTATCTGCGATGTGCCCCATCTGTATCTGCGCTGTGCTGTGTCCAGGGAGTCGCCCTGCTACACTCCTCCTGCTGGCGGCGCTGTGCGCAGCCATTGATAAAAGCGGGCGGGCAGCGCGCGAGTCAGACAGAGCGAGCGAGCGGCGGAAGGTTCGGGAATTGTTACCGGGGTTGGGGTGGGGAGAAGAAAAAGCAGAGCCGATTAAAGCCCACCGCCTTTCACCCCCTGGGGGGTATCCTCACACCCCCTACCCCACCGTCCTTCCCTCTCTCCTTCACCTCCTCTAGCCGCCATCTTCGCCGAGCAGCAGTAACCGCCATCGCGACTCCGGGCCCCGGCTGGGGTTTTGAAAAGGCGAGGGGCCGCCATCAACGGAAAGACAGAGACACCGAGCTCGGGTGTGTGGCCTCCCGGGAGCTGCTGTGAACCTGAATCCAGGCCCGGGGGCAGTGGGTGAGGGCAGACCCGATGATGTACCGGTGCCCTCCGCCGACTTAATCCGGGTGGACGGCTCGAAGATTCGGCCTGTTTTAGGCGGAGCAGCCCGCCCTCCGCCGTGATTTATCACGGAGAGATTCCCCCTTTTTTTTTCCAGAAGAAAAACATATCAAGAATTCATCGCCCTTTAATTCCGCGCTAGAGGAAAGTGAAGGGAGTTTGTTTATTTTCTTTACCTCTTTTTTTTAACCGAGATGTTGGCCGGAGCCAAGGACAATCCGTGCCGCAAATTCCAGGCTAATATCTTCAATAAGAGCAAATGTCAAAATTGCTTCAAACCCCGGGAGGTGCACTTACTGACGGACGAGGACTTGAACCAGGTGAGGGGGATGGTGTGGGAAGTTCATTCGTAAAGGGCAAACAGCATTACTGCCCTTTAATTTTTAAAATGCAACCTCTCTTTTGTTTTGCGAGAATTGGTGGCGGGGAATCTGGTTTCTTGTGTTACTCGGAGAAGGAAGAGTTTTTTTTGTGTGTGTGGTCGTGGTGGAACCGATAAATGTTGCAGATTGGGGTTTGTGTTTTGCCTCTGATCGTAGTTATCTTTTCTGTGGCTGGTTTTACTCCGACACTGACGGGAAGAAAGTGTCGAAAAGTAGGTTTTTAGTGGTAAACAGCCAGAACCGTTTCCCCCTCTCTCCTCCCTTCACCCCCAGCCCCAACTCCAACAAAAACACAAACACCGATGTTTGCCCTAATATTTATGGCTGCTGTTTCCTGCTTTTTCAATGATGTTTTTGGATTTTAAAAGAAGTGTAGTTTTCTTCTTTCAAACCTTTTTGCCTTCTCCCTTGTCTCCTTCCTGGTTTATTTTAATGTATGGATTTGAAATGTGTGCATATTTTTGTTTTTCGCTGCATAAATCTTCAGTTGGGGTGTGTTTTTTTTATTAGCGCCTCCGTCTAATCCTAACAGTACCCTATTTCGGAGAGATTTGAAAAATGGTGAATTGTTTGTAGATGCTTGTGTGTTTAAATTAGGATGTGCCAAAAGTGCCGGGGTCTACTACGAAATATATCGTTTCTTGACTATGGTGAGCAGAAAATAACGAGTTAATTTCTCTGTGGTCTAAATTGCTGCGAGAAATTGTCCTGCAACCACCTTCCTACTGTACCATGCTGCAAAACGAGTAGTTCCTATTGAAAATTTCGTGCGTGTGTGTGTATGTAACGTTGACGTTAAAATAAAGTTTGCAAAGCTCAGTGCTGTGTTCAAAATCTTGGGTACAATTCTTGGATAATTTTAGTATACTTTGCCATATTTTTGCCTGCCTCTTCCTGTCTGAAATGTGATGTAAATGTCTGAAATGAATAATTTGAAAAACCATATAATGCTTGGGAATCTGCACTGTGTTGTATTTTTGGTAATTTTCTCCAATTTCAGAAGCTGCTTTTTTTTTAAAAAAAAGGTTTCCCGGTACTTTTCTGAACCATGCTGTGATATTAGTTTTTTTTTATAGACCAAAAAAAATCGAAGTATATTGGTTCCCGGGACAAAGGATGAATGTAATTTAATGAATTTAAATGTAAACCTTATTGAATTTACAAAGAACAGCACTTTTGTTTGTACTAATAACTGAAAATATTTATTTTAGAAAAAGCTTTACTTCTCGAGATCAAATTGTAATAATTCAAGAAATAATTGAAATGAATCCAGAAAGTGTATTCTCTGCAGTGGTAATTTAGTAAGCTGTCCAGACTGTTTTAAACAGAGTGATTTGTTCCTACCATATTATGTTTCCCATTTCAATTGCCCTGGTACTGTCACAATTACAGTTTGCAGAAATGAGGATGAATTTGAACTTGATGACAAATTGAAATTTTAATGTTTATGGCAGGCTAAACTTTGTTCACTTTTTGGAAATGAATGAGACAGGTATTGTGCTACATACAAACGTGATTGTCTTGCCCTCATCAAAAGTTTAATGCTGAATTGGAGACTAATGTTGAAAACTTCATCCCCTGGTCAAATGATTTGCTTTTGACATATCATTGTTTATTAAACCCTCTTGTTTCCTTGTTTTGAATTGCCACCAGTTATTGCTGTTTAAATTTTTATGTAGTATTCAAAAGTTTTGAAAACTACATAAAAATGATTAACACTGTGATATAAGGAACAGGCGAGTCAGATTGTCATTGGACATTGACAAAGTCCAGTATGACTTTGGTTGTGTCATAGTTGATAGCTTACAATTGGCCATTGTATTCACCTAGCACTTGATTATGTTTTAACACTTCTCTAAATCTTTAGAATAATCAGTGATTGATCTGCAGGATGTTGTAATGTTAATAGATGTTATTTTTATAGAATAAGAAATAGTGTGAAAAATGGAGGTTTCCTTCAGTAGTCAAAAATTTGGTTAAACCAATTTAAGATTTAATATTAAATTGTGGACTGTCATGGTAATCCGTGATTTAACTTCTCATGTGAACTGCTGAGCCTTCCTGCAAGTTTGTGTGTGTGTGTCCTCTCCCGTTCCACTCTTTTGACCACTGTAGCACTCTGAAATTCCTTGTCAAGGCAAGTTCCATCAATTTCCTCCCCTGCAACTTCTACCATCCTTGTCTGGTTTGTTTCTCCTTCCTTGCTCTTTTGATGTTTAACGGAAAGAGCTTTAGAATCTATTTCTGCACTTGAAATGCAGTTGTGCTCAAGTGTCACTATTTGAATTATTTGCCCCTTGTGTAAAATGGTTTCTCAATGTTCATTAGAATGGCATTTTGTGGAGTTATGAACTTTTTTTGAGTTTGGACTAAAATTGTAACATTTTTGTGGCCTCCCAGGTTCAGCAGCATATGTGTATGACAGTTCCTCTTTAAAAAGAGGCTTGTGACCACTGAGGTCTGAGCTTTGTAGTCAAGTAAGTAGCTTTGAATTGTAGGCACTCCTATAATGTAAGAATGTATAAATATTGTAATGTTTGGTTGGGAGACTTAAATAGGATCACTGGGCATGGTACCATTGCCATATTCTACAGGCTTCCCAAGTCTGTTTCACTAATTTGTCTTATTGGTTACTCAATTTTCAAATTTTCTTCATTCCCCATTTTAGTTAACTCCTTACCACCTGTCTTTCTGTAGACTTCTATAAATCTGTTACATGAACACTGATATTTTGGCTTCTCTTTGGTGTCTGCTGTATTGTCTTTGCTCATCCCTTTTTTATTTTGATGCCCAAAAATCTCCAATTAAGAAGAATTGCAGAGCTTTGCATATATGCGCAGTTCCTTTTTTTTTCCTTTGTAGCATATTTTTAAGCACTGGAAACATTCCTTGAAGTTTACCGCACTTTATACAGCATTGTGCTGGTTTTAATTTATGACAAAGGCACAGCAAAATGGGCCAAAGTTTCATATCAAACTAGGATGATAACTCTGACTGATATCAGGAAAAACAGACTGGACCAGATCAGGCAAGATCAACACTAACAAGGTCAGCATTGATCTTGTCTCCTGTACATCCTATGCCCTCTCTTTTTCTCTATCATTTTCACAGGTCAAAACTGTTTCTCCCTATCTGCTGTATGCCTTACTATGTCCAAGTTTTTCCTCACTCATTATTCTGTATGTCCTTACTTACAATGATCTGCTTGCAAACAAAGCTTTTCACTGTACTGAGGTGCACATGACGACAAATCAAATCCGTTACTGTCTATTCTCTGGTGGAAAAAGCGGAAACCAGTTGACCAAGAAGTAAATGGGACTGGGTGGAAGTGTCCTGAGAGCCACACCTTGGTTTGGAGAGTGCAGAGCCAGGTGACACAGGCTCGGGCCATTTAGGACTGATTTCTTCATTCAGGGTGGTGAGTCTTTAGAATTCTGTACCAAGGAGAGCTGCGGAGGCTGAATATACTCAATGACTGAAATCAATGGATTTTGAGCTATCAAAGATAGTGCAGTCAAGTAACATGGATATTTAGATAAGCCATGAACTAGAGGAATGGTGGAGTAGGTGAAAGGGGTCAACTGGCCTATTCTTGCCCTAGCTCCTATTTCCTATATTTCTCAAATCCAGTAAAAGGGAACTGATGACCAAGCTGTCATTCTCCAACCACCACAGAAGCAATGAGAAAGTAGCAGGTTGTGTACTTGCCTCTTTAAAAATATAGCCAAAGTTTTCTGGAGAACATCTCGAGCTGGGAAAACTAAGCAGATTTCACAAAATCGTAGAACTGTTGCAGTGCAGAATGAGGTCATTTAGCCCAAACATGTCTGCATTGACTCTTCAAATAAGTAGTTCATTTTGAGTCATTCGCTTGCTTTTCCCTCCAATACTGCATGTTCTACCTTTTTCAGATAGCAGTCCAGCTCTTTGAATGCTTCAACTGAACTTATTTCCGTTGTGTTTCAGACTGCAACCACTTGGTGTTTTTTAGAACTGTTTTTCCTTGATTTACTTCATTTAACAATTACTTTGTGCCTATGCCCTCTCTCTTTCTCTATCATTTTCACAGGTCAAAACTGTTTCTCCCTATCTGCTTTGTCTTGACCCCTCATGATTTTAAGCACCTCCTTCAAATCTCATCCCCATCACCTTTCCTCCAAGGAAAATAGTTTTAACTTCACATGTCTGTCTGAAATTCTCATCTCTAGAATAATTCTCTTGAGTATTTTCTGTACTCTTGCCAATGTTTTGAAGAAACATTCTTAAAATGCAGCCACAGAACTGGATACATTACTCTAGTTCAGACCAAGTTGGTATCTTGTACAAGTTCAATGTAGCCTCAGCGAATGCTGGAGAAAGTCAGTTCTGAAGAAGTGTCTTTCTGAATTTGAAACATTAACTATGTTTCCCTTGGCAAATGCTGCCAGACCTCTTGAGTTTCTGCAATATGATTTGTTTCAGATTTTCAGCATCTGCAGTATTTTGTCAATATTCAACATAATCTCCTTGCTTTGTCCCTAATAATCAAGCCAAAGATTTCTGAGCTTTATATCACTTTCTCAACCTGCTCTGACACCTTAATGATTAATGTGCACATGCACCCAGGTCCTGTTACATTCACTTTAGAATAGCACCTTTTGTATTGTGTCTCCATGTTCTTCAGACCAAAATTAATCAGAGAACATGTAGCTCATTGAAGAGAAATGTGCAATCTTTCTGTCCATTCTACCAAATTGTCATTATGAAGTTCTGTACTATCTTTATTGCATTTTGCAATGATTTCAAGCTTTGTACCATCTGCAAACCTCCCTGTACACTAAAGCCTGGGACATTAATGTATATTGGGAAAAGCAAGTGTCCCAACACTGACCTCCTGCAGAACTCTGCTCCAGATATTTCTCCAGCCTGAAAAAACATCCATTAGTCACTTGTTTCCTGTTATTCAACTAATTTAAAATCTGTGTTACTACTAACCCTTAACCTTGTCCACAAGTCTGTCATTTGGCACTGTACCTTTTGGAAATCCATTGTCACCTCAGCTCCGTTGCCGTCGTCAACCCTCTGCTATTTTTCCAAAATAACGTTTTTTGAAAGAAACTTTAAACATTTTCTCTTAAGTCAGCATAGGTTTCTTTTAATTAACTTGCAGTTGTCCATGTGACTATTCATTTTGTACTAGGTTATTGTTGCTAGAAATTTTCCTCTATTGAAGTTAAACTCACGTGCTTGTAGTTGCTGCATATGCTTACATGTCTGCTTTTATTTAAAAGGGTTGAAATCCTTCAGTTCCTAGGCACCGTGGAGAGTCCAAGGACGACTGGAAAATTATGGCCAATGTTTCTGTAACTTCAATTCTCACTTCCTTTTGTATCTTTGGATGGATCTCATCTGGTCTTGATGCAGTCCACTGTAATGGAAAACATGTTCAATACGTGTCCAAGCTAGAGAGATTCTGTCTTGAATCATCAACAAATTGTTGAAGAAACTCAGCAGATCTGGCAGCATTTCAATTTTTGTGACTCTTCAGTTCTATACTGTGTGCCATGAAATTCTTCTTAGATCATATGTCTTGGCTTCCTCATTTGTTGCCAACCTTGTTTTAAACCTTCCCTCATACTAGCAAAAAACCTGCAAAGAACTCAATCCTATCTCTCTCTTTAGTTGCAGCCTGCCCAGTCTCTTTAGGGCTTCCAGCCCCCTTTTATGATCAGTAGGAGCTTGGGTGGAGTAAATATTGATTTTAACTATTTCCAGTAGCTGAAGTGTTGAATCAGAGGGCACTGATTTAAAGTGATTGACTTACTAAAGAATCAGAAGCAACATGAAGACAAACTTTTTATGTTTAATGCAATGAGTGGTTATGATTTGGAGTACACAACTTGAGAGGGTGGCGAATACCAACTCAACAGTAACTTTCAAAAGGAAGCTGGATAAATATTTGAAGAAAGATTGGGAAAGAGGAGGAGATTGGTTCTGCATCAGCTGTTTTGCAGAACAATCCAGGTAGACCCAAAGGAACTGTGCAGCCATCTGTGATTTGGTGTTCAGTGTTTCTAAGATGTCAGGCCAATTGTGGCCTTGGGAAGGAAAGATCCAAATAAAAGGTGATCGTAAGATTTGAGCAAGGTGCTATAAAATACTAGAACCTGGATCTGAGCAAGAGCGGTGTCTACAGAGGCTCAATTCTAATGCCTCTAAGCTTGATTGTCAGTGAGTTGCGTTGACCTTTGGACAGCTGTTCCTGGCCCACCAGATTTAATGAGAAAACAGGATCAGGGATGTATGGGCTGACTCTTTTCAGGAGAGGAAAAAACGTTTGAGATTTTGGTTGGGTACAAATTTTCTTGCTGGGCTATCTAAGTCATGTGATATGGTTGGAATGCTATGTGAATAATCTGGCAACAGCATCTAAAATGCAGCATGAAACTTCAAACAGAAGGAAGCCGATAATAGCAGCTGTAACCTGCAATGTAGCTAGTTTGGATCCAAAGTAATCCTACCAGTGTTCACCTTATCCAGAATGAAGCACGAGTTCTTAAACCATGGGAAAGTTGGAGGTGAGCAAAGATATCGCATGCTGTAACAAATATTGGGTTTTTCCCAGATCCTGTTCATTTGTGTTGCTTTACCTACACTGAACATTAAGTTGATTTTCCTGAAAATCTTATTGAATGTCACCTTGGAATTTGAGACATTTGTCAGAAGCTTGAACCTAACTTCACCTCATGCAGAGACCAAATGAGCTGCAGATATCATTTTATAAACCCAAGTGAGACTAGTTTGCTGCTTTGACAAAATTAATTCTGTGGATCTTGAGTACTGGAATGTGGAGGTGGAGAGAAATGGGCACCTTTTAATCTTGCTGTACGGTTTATTGCTTGTGCCGTGCAAGATTCCTTTTTCAAAAGTGTAAGATTCTTAAACCTTTGCATTTGTGCTTCTCCAGATGGAAACCTGGTCAGGTTGTGTGTACACAAAGCATTTTGGCAGGTATTTTTTTCTCTTGAAAGGAAGAGAGGTAGTTGTTATCCCACGTGATTACTGCCCTCCTCTCTGCCTGCTCCCCTTGTTCCTTGATTTTTAAATTGATCTCTGTTCCATAAATTAAAACACCCAGGTAAGATACTTATTTATTAGAAAACCTTTTTTCATCCAAACAAAAAAAGTAATGGCAAAATTATAGAGCATCAATGTTATCAATTGTGCTGTCATACTTGTTTGATTTATAGTCATTTAAACCATGAGATTGCTGAAGTGGTTTTGTACTGTACAGTTTCTTTTGTATATATTCACGTGATGGTCAGTTTTAAAAACATTCCTCATTTTCAGTGTACTTTATTTTAAACCTTTAGTTGGGCTGAATATTTTGTTTTAAGCTGAATTACCATGACCTGATTCATTGTTGCAGAAGTATTTGTAAATTCAGCAGATAATTCCATTCTGCCATACATGCCTGGTCACTTCAAACAACTGTGTTTTTTGGCTATTGTATAGCTGTACCTCGGTTGGTAGCACATTCACCCGAGTCAGAAGCTTTTTGGTTCACCTATCGTTCCAGAGACTTGAAAACAGATGCAAAGTCAAAGCTGACAGGCTGTTGTAGTACTGCACTGTCATGTTCCAGGATGAGAGAATAAGCTGATGCCTTGTCTGCTACCTTGATTGGCTTCAAAAGTGCTCTTTGACATCTAAGCAGGGGAGGTTTCCCTGTATTCCAGCTAATGTCACAAACGGTTATCTTGTGATCTCTTTATCTAGAAGGACATACCAACAAGGAACAGGAGTAGACCACTCAGCTCTTTGAACTGCTTCACCATTCAATAAGATCATCTTTGATCTGAATTTTAACTTCAACTCTGCACTCCTGCGTACTCTAATAATCTAAATGACCAATAACATTGTGGGATCCTGCTGTGTAAAAATTCTTACGTTTCCTATGTTACAACAGTGGCTATAAAATGTAGTTGACTTCTGAAGCAAAGGGGATCCTGAGGTTGTGAAGAGTGGTATAAATTCAGTTTCTTTTGTTTTTGTAATGATGACTATGCATGATAGAAATGCGAGTGACTGATGTTTAAAGTGGCAAGTAATAGTCAGACTTCTTTGCTGTTTTTTAACTAGTATTCCATGCAATAAACACTTTCCACAAGATAATGCATCTTTTGGTTTGAAGTGGAATGTCTGTGAGATCATAAATTCACTGTTTTGAATGTCTTGGCAATGGCAGTTTTCTTTCCTTATTCATTAACTTGGCTCATTGGCACTCATGCTTCTGAGTCTGATGTTCATTACACCACGGCATCATCTCTCAAACTAAGCTGATACATAATATAGTTGTTTCTGTTAATGTAGTGCTGTTTTTGGATGAGGTTAAGTCTTCAGCATTGAAGAAGAGCATGAAGCTTTCCTTTGCCAACGATTATCCCACAATCAGCACCACGAAAGACAGATTTCATAGAAGCTTCCTCTGAGGGCTCTTGTGTTGCAGTGATAGTGTTTCTGCCTTTGAGTTAGGATGCCTGATTTCAAGTCTCACCTGTTCCAGAGGTATATAGTAACATCTCTGACAATTTGAATAGAAAAAATCTAGAAATAACCTGTCATTAAAGAGAAATGACTGGTGGTGAGTTTAACCGGAGGGTCATCACTCCTCGGACAAGGGGTGAGGTTGAGAAAGCAGGACCTTTTTTTTATGGCAACCTCCGTTTGTGTG